CAGCGTGGCGGGCATGGCGTAGGAGTCTATGGTGCCGATCCATTTCAAGGTCTCCGACACATCCTCTTAGTTGCCGAGTTCAGAAGCCCCACAAAAAATATACACTTTCAGTTCTGTAGGGGGATTGTAGTATCCCAAAAAGTGCAAAGTGTACTCACTCAGCTGCTCAGTCCTCTAGGGAGAGGCTGTAGCTGGTCAAGACTTCAACCCCAGGAATCGCGAAGGTCAGGTTCTCCCGAAAGTGCTCGTCCGGCTCCTGAAATTCCGGCCATCGCACCATCACCGCGTGGACATCCGACAGCCTGGCAGTGACAGCCTCGCGGGGGTTTAGGGTTAGGGTTTAGGGTTTAGGGTTTAGGGTTTAGGGTTTAGCGTTTAGGGTTTAGGGCTTAGGGTTTAGGGTTTAGCGTTTACGGTTAGGGTTTAGGGTGTAGGGTGTAGGGTGTTGAAAAGGCAGGTAGGTAGGTTGTCATGGGGAAGGTGGGGGGGAGGGGGGCGGGGTGGGAGGCAATTTCGTTATTCCCTGAATTTAGCTATGAAAAGGCTGAGCCGTGCCTTTTTGATAGGGTCCTTAAGGCTGTAAGGGAGGGGAGTTCAAGAGGGGGGTCTGTAGCCCAATGCTCCCCACTCCTCCCTAAGGCGCCCAGAGCTTCCCTAAGGTTTCCTCTAGGTACCTACTCCCATGAACCCCCTTTTTGAGGACCCTACAACTTTTGCTGACTCCCTAAACCCTAAACCCTAAACCCTAAACCCTAAACCCTAAACCCCAAACCCTAAACCCTAAACCCTAAATGTTAAGCCCTAAACCCGATCATGCGAGACACGGGCTTCATGTTGGAAACGTACTTCGTGCAGGAACGTGGAAAATTGAGGGGTTGGAAATAAAACCATGCATCATAACCCACCTGCTCGGCTCACAGAAGGCCAGAGGGTTGAAGACTGTGCGGCTGGGGACTGTGGGCTTGCTTATACTATTAGGGCGCGTCTGTTCCCATGCTTGTCCGAAAAACTCTGCAGGGAGTCCTCCTAGGGACTTCTCAGTCGGATATAAGTAGACTTACAAGCTTCTCTATGTTCCATGTCACCGAGCCATAAAAAGTCCAGTTAAAAATCCAACAGCTGCTACTCATGTCAATGACATTTTCTCCGTGGCAAAATGGCATTTGCTGGTACTTGCACACAAACTTATGCCAGTAGGCCCCAATCAGTAAGAGACCACCCGAAAGCATGTATGTACTTCGTGTCGTACCTGCCTGTTGTGCATTGATTGATCCTCATTTGCTTACTGGCCCAAAACCCAAGGAAACAAAAGTTGAAACTTTCAGAAAAAAAACTACCCTATAACAAGCCCAAAAGTTGAAAAGTTGGGTTTTGAGCCAGTAAGTTTATTTCTTGCTGACCATTCTCTCTCTCTCGCTCTCTCTCTCTCTCTCTCTCGCTCTCTCTCTTCTTGTTTGATCCCCATGCCTCGCCGATGCACCATTTCCGCTGGAGGATGCCGGGGCTTGCAAGAATGACGAGGGTGTGGGTGTCTCGCACGAAGCCAAACAGCTCCGTAAGATCCCGGAGATCGTCGGTGTCCATGAAGGTCGTGAAGCGGGAGCTTCGCTTAAGTAGCTGGGTCTTAAGCAACCGCGCAAAGGCTCCAGCAGTGCTCTTCTGGTGGGACAGGAAGAAGCGCCAGGGCTTTCGATGCAAGCGAGCCACATGCAGCAGGACGCCGTAGGCCGCCGCAGTGACGATGGCCAAGCTCATGTGCAGAAGGAAGAACAAGCAAATGGCCACTGATGTCCCGGCATCTTCGGTCCGGGCGAAGGCAGAAGCTATGTCCAGCACCACCAGTAGGCTAACATGCAGCATCACGTCCAAAAGATTACCAGCCCTCGAGCGCCACGGCTGAACGAAGGAAACAACGAGCGAGCTGGTGTAAAGAATCACATTCATCGCTACGATCTGAACAGACGTCGATGGCAACGCGGGCACCACGGCAATCAGACCATTTCTGGCAAGGTATAACACCGAGTAAATCTCTGCTCCTGGCCGGAACTGCGACCACAAGAAGGTGCAGGCTCGGAAATAGGCAGCGTCTGCGCGGATGAGGCGCTTTGGAAGTTCCACCCAAGTGACCCAAATGCTGAGCACGAGGAAGCCGAGGGGCATGAGGGAGGCCAGCGCACCAATGATGCTCATGGTGAGATGCTGGTCTTGCCCGCTGCAGAAGATGGAGTTGTACTTCTGCATTGTGAACATGCCATTCGGATGTTCGTTGCACTGGAAAGGCGCAAGTATGGCGGCGAAGATGGCGATGAAGAAGCTCTTGAATAGCGAGCCCACCGTGCGCAGAAGTCGGCTCATTCCCAAGTCCACAGCCCGACGTTTCCGGACGACAAGGGCCACGAGGTGCACATTCAAAGCCACGAACGCACAGATCGGGGCTGCCGAGGTGCTCAAGGCATACCTCGCCACCGGGCTCATGTGTGAGAGGCAGGAGATGGCCAGCATGTCCAGATCAAGCCCCATGAGCTCCTTCGCTGCAAAGGTTCATGAGCCCCCCAAAAAAAGTGTACACTTTCAGTTCTCTAGGGGGTTCTATCATCCCCGAAAGCGTAAAACCCTAAACCCTAAACCCTAAACCCTAAACCCTAAAGTGTACTCATTCAGCGAAGGCTCGAAGGAGTTGAGGATGCGACCCACGGGATCCTCCCATGCGATCCCAAATTGATTGATGACCGCGAGCTGCTGTGCCACGGTTAGGAACCTTAAGGGTGGCCCAAGTGCTTAGGGATTTAGGGTTTTAGGGTTTTAGGGTTTTAGGGCTTTAGGGCTTTAGGGCTTTAGGGTTTTAGGGTTTTAGGGTTTTAGGGTAACCATACTACAATAAGGGTAACCCTTTCATGATTGGTTGCTTTACACGGGATCCCAGAACCCCAAAAAGAAAGGCAAAAAGGTATCACTGGGCTACCAAGGAACTGGGTCATAGCCAGGACAAAGATTGACATGTGAGCCTCCTGAGTTGTCCGGTCCACGCCAAGATCCAGTGAGATGTAGAGTACGGCGTTGAGAACCACCACCGCAACGGCCGCAAAGAGTATGAGAGCGTAGGACGTGCCCGTGCAAGGTCCGCACGAGCCGTCACTGTAGGTCTGAAGGCCTGGGAGGCAATCCTCGCAGGTCACCTGACTAGCTCGGAACAGCGAATTAGAGAATCGGGTACCTTTATGCACCCCGCCCATTCATCGTCACCTACTTCCCTACTTGGAGGTTCATGGTACTAACCAATTATAACTGTACTTAGACCACTTATAAGCCCTTTAAGTGTGCCCTAATATGGTCACAAGTAGCTATAATTGGTTCATAACTCCCCCAAAAACGAGTAAGTCACCGAGTTGGCATCCCGACCACCGGCGCAGGTTCCTGGTGCACCGCCTGGGCAACGGGCGGCATCACCGAAGCATTGAAAAACGCTTCCCGGCTCTGCAGCTGATGAGAAGTACCCCGGAAGGAGCTCCTTGGTTGCTCTTTTAACCCCCCCAATAAAAGTGTAACGTCTGGCTCCCGTGCTATGAATACCAGGAAACCCGAAACTTATAAAGTGACAAAGTGGTAGTAAAGTCCCACCTAGGGCTCCACCTGACTTGACCCTGGGCAGCGCGAGCCACGGATGCACAGGGCGCAAAGCCCCTCAGGGCTCAAGTACCTGCCCGCCACACAGCCGCACAAGCTCTTCGATGTGGCACCATCCACCTCGATCCACTTCGTTGCGCCATCAGCTTGTACGGACCGGGTCGTGGTCGAGTGATTGCCGCCACCGCACGCCATGCAGCCGGAGGCTCCTGTGACATTTGCATAGCGCCCCAGTTCGCAGCGTCTGCAGTAGGCGCTGCCCGATTGGCCAGCGTAGGTCCCCAGGTCGCAGGGAACGCAGAGTGTCTCCCCGAGGGCGCTCCTATACTCCCCTTAGAACCTTAATAAAAATAATACTTTTAGTATCCTCTTGGGTTGTATATAAACAAAAAACAATTCCCAAGGGGGATATAGGCTCTGGGAAGTACCGGGCTCACAAGGAACACAGCGGTAGGTTGACCCGTGCTCATCGCTGAACGGCTCTGAGACCTTGCCAGCCGTGCAGAGGCTGCAGCCCGTGGCTTGCGATCGGTTCTCCACGTGAGCACCTTGCCCGCCAGCCAAGCCATAGCCTTCTGAGTTGGCCTTTAAAGGCACTGAAAACTATTTGTATATAGGGTCCCTTATAAGCCCAAAATAAGGAAGTTTAAAGAATGTCCCAAACTCCAAGCCCTAGCCTTGTACACATTGCGTCTCAATGGGTACCCACTGCTGCCATCGGCTCCGCTGCGACCGCACCCACTCGCAGGCAACTGTCTCCACCGACCCGGTGGCTGTTTCGGAGAGGAGGTGCTGCATCCCTGACAGGTCGAGCTCGAAGCTCTCAAGGAACTTCACCACTTTGGGTGCTTTCGACCTCAGGTCCCTCGAGACCATTTTGGTGATGAGACTCTCTGCGTCGGAGGTCCTGTACTTGGAGACCTCCCACTCACTGGCCTCATGGCGCGGGAACTGCACCAAGGAGGGGTCGAGATGAACGTGGGTGGCATCCGGAAGCCAGCAATAGAAAAGCGTGCGAGCGCTTGAGGCGTATCCAGCATACAGGCCGAAATCCTTTGCAATCCCCATGGCCACGGGCATACCATGGAAAAATGCCCACTGCATGATGACGTGAACGCTCCAGCCATCACCCGCAGTTACGAGCGGAATGCACTTCGCCAGATCATCGCGGCAGGCAGGCGAAAGCCAGAAATGGCCATATGGGCAATGAGCTTGCAGCTTTCCGCTGGTGTTTGACACGCCTTCTGTATCGCCAGTCCAGTGAAGATATGCCTCCAGCTGCACCTGCCGTGTCCATCGTGCGTAGCTGGTGTTGCAGGGCAGGAAGTCCTCCACTTCCAGCGCGAAGGGCGGGTCGAAAAAGTTCTGGGCCTGAT